TACAAACATGTTATATCAACGAATTTAAATTTTTTCGATTGTATATGGAACTTTAAAAAGTATTATGCGAGTATTAAGAATGAAAAATATATCGTAGATGAAATACATACAGATGACATTAAATATCCTCTATTGCCATATTACAGCTTAATTTCGTGTCCACCTATTGAACATTTTCAACAAGTATTCGAACAAATATCAATCAAAGAATTAATATATCCAACAATTTATTATGTACTTAATAATCTCAAAGAACTCAACGATATTCGACAGAGCTCGACGAGCTCTACCGAAATGTACACACCGAAATGTATACGAGAATCCCATATTAATTTTATCATTTTTTCAAAACTTTGATCTGTACGTCAACGAACAAATGCTTTTTGATTGCACCAAAGACCTTCAATTGCATCATTACGATGTTTCACCACATCGTCCCTTTCGTGTCCCTCAAAACATGGACGTTGTGAATGTGCCTCGAATTTTGCTCCCCATCTATGAAGATCTAGAGGACAACTTCTTTCAGATCCTATCAGATCATCTCCAGTTTGTTTCTTAATAGATGTTAATTCATAATATGTTGTATCAATAAACTGAGCCAGATCCGTCGCTTTGAACTCGCCTGACTTTTTTGAAGATGCTTCAACGACAAATGCTTTCGCATCTGCTTCAGTCTCGGAAAACGTATCACAAAATGAACCAGTTTGTTTACCACCACGTAAATCATTTGAAAACTCTTCATAATCTCCTTTGATAAACACTGTTGCCCATTTATGAGAAGTTTTCGGGTCATAAAACCAATGCTCTTCAAATACTCATCGACATCTTCCCATTTAATGTTGAAGAAACGTAACGACATATAAAGCAAAGTGCTAAGATATTTCGTGTCACATTTCGACTTGCACATTTCAGCAAGATCACCGATGTCGGTTAGCAAAAGTTTGTCTTTAAAATTCAATTCTTCATCATCAACATCCATTCGATATTCATCATCAGATGAATCGCTTGAATCCGAAATCTTTACATTTTACCAGCGACGAGCTGATGCACCGCGCGATTGAATTTTCCTTTTATTTCCTGCAGGCATACCGAACTAACTTAGTGTAGCTACAAAAGATATTATCTTAAAGAAAGACGTATGTTATAAGTGCTTCTACTTATACCATGATTTTTCGAGGAAAGATTTTATGGGGACTTTCGAAGGGTCTCTAAAGATCTCAGAAGTATGTTCATTCGATTTGTCAACAGTTTTTACCTATATGGACAAATTCTCACTCAGTTTGGATGAAAAAGATGCATTTTATTTAAAAATGACCTTTCCCTTTCTCCTATGGTATCAGTAAACACGATTTTTCTCGACAAAGAAAAGGAAAGAGAAAAAAAGCGATGTGTAACATTTTGACTGGTGGTATGATGAGTCGAATGAGATAAAATATTTGCCTCCATCGCTTGTGTAGAAAAACTAGATAGGTTTACAAAATCGACCTATACCTAGTGGACTCGACGAGATTCGAAGCGCCACCACCAATAGAGTTTTGAGTCTGATATCAATTGAACAGCTTTTTTATATTCAGCTTTTGATGCTGAATCTGAAAAAGTTATTTTCAGAAGCTGGAAAAAAGAGCGAAGTAGAAAATTTTGCATATTTCGAAAAAGATGTGTTTTTCTCGAAAAACGACACCTTTCGAGTATTTCGTACTTTTCGATTGGAAGGAAGTATTTGCTAAGGCTAAAAAGTAGTTTTTCGTGATCAGCATCTCAAGCTCTATCAAATGATGTAAAAGAACTAGAAAAAAACTTTTTTACTGAAAATTCGCATTGCCTGCACCTTACAAACGGCAGAAAAATATACAAGTCTGAACTCAACGCTGTTATTCCAACAACCGTCTTCTTTAGAAACATCTGTATTTGGAGAATACAATAAGTTTGCATTGATATCACAATTTTATCGGCGTATCATACACAGAAGAAGCTTGTCTAGTTTGATGGCTTAGACCTTATTCGTTCCAATTTAGGTGTCTGGGTACACGATCACAATAAAACTCGGTTTTGGTTCCCGATCAGGTATTTTGTCAATTTCCTTGCACCGATGTGTACTTTTCGCAAAAGCATCATGTTTTTTACTTTTACCCAGAAACAGATAGAATCTTTCGTTAATTTGTATGCATTTTATCTGAGACGAGTTTGCGCTTGTTATGACTATAAATTATTTTTTTCATTAACTGGTATATTAACCGATAGACTTTTGACGTATAGGATAAAATTTATGTCAAACGTTTCTTCTTTTTCGCACTACTTGAGTCTAGGAATATTTGATAGAATTTTATTTCTTTCTCAAATCTATGTATGGATCATACCGGTTTTCAAAGGAATTCGCGACAAATCGAATGATTTCCTTAAAGATATCGGTGTTTGTTTTATCACTTTTATGAATTTCGAGATTCGTTTAATTTTTATGTTCATCGATTCAATGATCTTGTGCCAAATTTGCATTTATTCCTTCGTTATCCGGATCATTTATTTTTTGAATGTATTTGTCAAAAATGTATAATTCCGTTAGGTCCTCTGCTAATTGTAAGTCTCCGTAATGGCTTACTGTAAAGTTCTTCTTTAGACACTGATTCATAGATTTTATATCTGATTTCTCTCCGGTTAGCTAGACATCGGCATTTCTTTTAGCAGTTGAACAACAACAAGATAATCTTAGTCAGGAGTATAGGCAGGACACTCATAAAATTATCTTACTGCTAAGATCTTAATAAGATTTGATGATTCTACTTTTATTCAACCTTTTATTTTGCTCTCATTGATCTATATCAGCGATCAACACAGGCTGGGCTGGGCCGGGCCAGAAAATTGTATAGATTGATGAGGCCGGGCTTGGACCAAAGTATTTTAGGTGGGTCGGGTCGGACCGAACTCATAACTTTTAAGCATGCGTGAATTTGTAATTTATGTCTATACTCAGTATCGAGAAAGAGTATTATCACTGTTCACGACATTGTAATGATTTCGTTTAGCTAATGCCTTTAAATGTTGAAAAATGAAAACCAAGAAAAGATAAAGATATAAATATTAGCTTGAGAAATACATTTACACCACTTAGCCAACACAAGCTACAAGAAAAAATCACGCCTGAGACAGTCTCGTTTTATTTTGTTAAAGTTTGTCGAGTACTAGAAAAAACAGGCTAAAAAATGAAATTTCGCTACAATATGTGTTTTGCTTATAAAAGCCGTGCTACTGAACCGGTTCATTTCAATTTTTTATCACAAACCAAGCATCTTACCACACACATCTGCTGAAAATTTTGTCAACGTTTGTTTAGTATTCGAGAAGAAACAGAGCTCATGAGTTAAAAAAGTGTAATTCCGTCACGCGCGTTTAGGTCGTGATATTTTCTATATTAAGCTATCGTATCATTCGAGAGTGATTAAAATTTGTTTAGGAATAGATAGTCCGTAATGTGGTTCTTTTTATCTATTGAGGAAAATTGAAAATAAATATTATCATTTTTTCGCTAAATGTTCACCTGGATGTCCGCTGTGCACGTGATATCCGTACTCGATGTTTCTCTGATGATGACCATAATGATTATGTATGCTTGTATTTTGTTATTCTTACTAAGTGTTAGATACGTAGAACGCTCAAGTAAGCATGGATTTCTACAATTAGTTAAAAATAATACCGTTGTTCATCATGCTCACACTAATACAGCATGAGAGTATATTGGAACGTATCAGTAAATCGAAAGTACGTTCAATGTGATTGTTGAATTACTCGTATTCCAGTTTATGTGTGCTGTTATTCCGTTACAACTGGCTTATGAATTGGACGCTTGTGCTTTATATCGTACACAAGTTTTGAAGAATTTTGACGTAAACCGTTTGAAGAATACCTTGGAGGATAAGATAGAGAAAAGATGGAGCTAAACGGGCTGATCTACTTACTATCGCTGCTGTTGGATTAATTGCTTATGGTGGTTATTGAATTGTCGGAGATTTATTGGGACCGAGTAATAGTCAACTAGACTCACGTTTAACGGATATTGAAGGTCAACGAAAAATGGATCACACTTTACTAATTCAACATAATACTGCTATTGCTGAATTAAAGGATAATGATGTATTGATATTTAAAGTGTTTCAAGACATGTACGATGATTCAAATAAAACGAGGCGATATTTGTATCAAGTCATCAAATATGTTATCAGTTTACGTCATGAATTTGATTCATTTACACATCATACCGTATTAAATGCAATGCATGATCATTACTCGAAAGTTGTGAGATCATTAGAACGTATTCGTGAATCTGATTTAAATATCGATTATTTACCACCAGATCAAGAGCTGTATTAAATGATTTGGTCTATCAAAAGGTTAAATTCCTGTTACCTCCTAGCTTAAAATCTCCATTGTTCAGCCTGATTCCGAAACTACTAGTTATACAAGATGTCGAATTTTATCCAATAAATGACACTGTAATGAAGTATGAATTGAATGAACAAGACTTCGTATTTCATGTTAATTTAAATTCTACTGCTAAAATTAAAAACAAAGTTAATCAGGTGCTGACACTGGATAGTATTATCCCGAAGGTAATTGACCATATCAGAATACAAAATATATTTGTTCGCCCAACAGATATTACGTTAAAGAAAACTGATTTATTCCTTATAACACCGTTACCTTATTTTGTACAACGAAACAAAGCTATTATAGCAACTGGACTGCCACATTATGTAGCTTTAAGTGCCGATAATTCATCATCAGAATGGAATGAACATTCAGATCGCCGATGCACAAAAGATACTCGTTTACTAATTTGTTCTCTACCAACCGTTGAACATGTTCGTGTCAAAAATCTGTGCACTAGAAGTATTATGTTTGATGATAATGATAACATAAATAAAACCTGCTTTAAACAGGAAATTGACACGCAGACACCGTATATCGCAAGACTAACATCCAGCGTTTGGATCGCGTCTACATATGTACCAATGAAATGTTTCGAGCGGGGAGCAAGCGAAAATGTCTTCACAGAAATAAAAAGAGTCGGTTTAACTCAGCTAGGCTGTAATCGGCAAGTGTTCTGTGGGCAGCTCAACTTTAACGAGGGTAGTATATGCACAAATATCGAAACGTTTCTTCTAACGATTGGTAATGATTATTTGTTGCCTACCAAACTTAATACTGCAGTTTCGGACATTCTGAACTTGAAAACATTGTTAAATACGTCGACATTGATTGATGGTATTGAAAGAAGCAAAAAGTCAGATCAAATGATTTTTAATCAATGGAAAGTAGGGTTGAACAAATTGAATAGCTCAACGAACAGAACACTCGCTTGGTTCTGCATAAATATTCTAGGCTATAGCCTGTTGTTTATCGTGATATTCGTTTTATTTTGTTGTCTATGTCGATATACAAAATCCGTATTTTGTAGGTTTGATCATATTTGTCCTCGAAGAAAAAAACAGAACCGTGATAATTTACGTGTCGCTAGTCTTCCACAAATATTTATACGTGCGGGAAGTATTGGCCCCATATTCTCCAATAAATCACGACGTCAACTATCTCCTGGTTCCGCTCGTAACCACCGACGTTCAAATTCTGCAAAAAGAAACACACCACCTATTATACCATTACTCACATCCTTTCATTCAAAAACAGATTCTCAACATGGAGATGTCAATGGTCGTATGCTTCCATGTATGTCGTCAGGTGATCCAACATTCGACGACAGTTTCTTCCTGGATGAGCAGGATATGCACCAATCATGTGCAGAAAATAAATGACAAAAATACTTCTTCTTTTACCATTTACTTTTCTTTGACTTTATTCACATTCAACATTATTTCATTTCCATTTAATATTAGTTCTTTAGTTATTCATCACCTATTCGATTTGAATACTAATCTGTTACTTCCGCCTTAAAGCTTTAAACTTTGATTTTCGTAGACTTACATAGTTGATCTTGAGTGTGATGAACGAATGGTTTAGCCGTGAATAGAATTTTTTTGACAATTGTTAGGTTCTGTACTGCCAATGTTTTACAGCTTTATTCTGTCAGAATACAAGCGGAAGAATATTCCATTACAGTATTCTAAACTAAAACTATCGAAAAACACAAAATCAATTTTTGTACGAATAGAGATTCGAACATGTGAACTTAGCTTTGTAGTAAACTACAAAACTAAATTCACCGTTCTGTATCTATATTCTGTACAACGACTGAAGTTGTGTAATCGACTCAATGTTATCAGTAGTAATTTTTTTGATATGTTTTTTGTGTTAAAGCCTTGTTCACCTAACTTGATTTGTTCAATACGTTTCAACACGCTAATAATGTTATTTTAATGATACTTAATTGAATAAAACAACAACATGCAATTCGAAAGAATAAGCATGATCAGAATGTGCGTATGTGACAAGATATATATACCCACAGAAAGAAGAAGAGAAAGAGAGAGAGTAGAAGAATCGAGAGCGATAGACCGCGTTTCACTATTAAGAAATCGAATAAAATCGAACAGAAATATTCACGTAGAGAGAGCGAAAATACGTGAAAACGAACATATGTTTGATTTGAACAAAAGAGCAAAATAGTATGAACATATTCGTCCGCTCAACTAAAGAAAAAGAGAAATAATGACAACACCAAAAGAAAGAGAATGCACAGAGAAGTAAGTATTGCTATTCTGGTCAATACCTAACAACGATGTTTCTCAAATCAGAGACCGTGCTCTATTTGATCCTGCAGCTTCATAGTAATTGAATAATCACTGCGGGGTTGAATATTCTAATTCAACTTTTGATTTTGATTCACTCAGACTTCAAGAAGTTTGATTGGGAATTCACATTATAATCGATACAAAATGTAAGGCGATCAGCCAATCAATTGCATAACTATGGTTTATATAACACAAAATTATTCAGTTGAAATAATTGATTTAGATGAGTGTATGTCTTTCAGTCTTTTTTGCCATCTTTCAGTGCGTTAATAAAAAGGTTGAGAAAAAGTGCTTAATTTAAATGCACAGCGTAGGATTTAATGCATAATCTCAGTAGGTCTAAAGTGTTAATATCATGTACCTTTTCTGGTTTCGCTGTGTCTGTGTTTTAGCTGCAAATATTCAAGATTTCAGAGAATCTGGGAAGATATTTAAGCGGCTCGTTACGATTTGCACTGAGCTGACCTGTAATCATTATCGCTATGTTTCTTGATTCAATGGAGAACACTGAATATTTTGTTTCATCTTTTTGAGTTTTACAAAACTAGCAGTACAATTTATATAACCTACGGTGCAAAAGTAATTGGACAAATGTCGAGCATTATTTCTACATGTTCCTGATGTGCTGGAAAGTTAATTATTTTCCCGTTCGAAAGAGCAAAGTCTAAACTTCAAAAAACATGGAAAGACAAACTTTTTGGGTTGAGTTTGAGTGAGAAAAAATTTGAATCTCAAGCATCGCCAGAAAAGCTCTTGTAAATTGCGCCGCCTCCTGACTACTATCCATCCCAAAATACAAGATCCGTGGGCATTTTTTGAATAACTTTTGATAGGAATGAGATGGAGACCAGTGATTTTCGCTGTTCAATAGCCAAGACTTGAACAGAACTTTTCACAAGCGAAAGCAACTTTTGAAAAAATTATAGAGAGCGAATTTTCAGAGCACCTTTGGAAAACCGGCTCCGTTCTCAGAAAACTAACATACAATGTTAGTAATTTTTTTTGCATGCGTAGATAGTTCGGATGTTACTCTACAAAATTATGCATGTCTCGGCTCTCTAGCTATCGTCGTTCGGGTAGGGCTCGCTTTCCCCGAGCACATGTCTATCTCGGAGCAGACATCTCTGGAAATCTCAAAATGCCATGGACTATAGGTAATCGCCTACGCTGAGCATAGTAGCAACATTTGTTTTTGTGTAGAAATGAATATAACTTCGCCAGAGGCATTGTTGTGAAAAATCGGTTTTTCGCCTGTTACTAGC